CTCTCTCTCTCTCTCTCTCTCTCTCTCTCTCTCTCTCTCTCTCTCTCTCTCTCTCTCTCTCTCTCTCTCTCTCTCTCTCTCTCTCTCTCTCTCTCTCTCTCTCTCTCTCTATCAAGGATTCGCTATAAATATTAAAGAGTACGCAAAATACTTACGTAATACGACAAATCGTTACGATAACATTTTATATCGATATTGTAATAATTATACATGATATTCACAAACTTGTAATTTTACTTATATCTCACTGTTTGAAATAGACGTTGCTATATGAAATATCTTTGCTAAATAATTATAAATATAACAGACTAGTCTCGGAAATTCTATTCTCTGACCAAGTGCTGCACAACAAGATTTTTGTTAAATATCTAAACTTTTGAATAAAAATCTCGTTAAAGAAAAAAAAAACACCCGTTAAAAAAAGCAAGAAACGAAAACCTTTTTACTGCGAGGAGAAAGGCTGGAATTTTCGACGATAATTGAGAAAGCGTTCCAAAGAAAAGCGTTCGCTCGAGACGTCGGGAAACGCGCGCGACGATCGCGACGACAATCATTTGCAATTGTGTCATTTTAGGCACCTTCTCGCGATTCGCGGACAATGCCGATCGGTTTCACTCGGGACACCGGGTACAGGCGGGGAAAGAGAACGTGCAAAAAGAACGTTAAGCGCGCAGACTGCGACCTTGACCGAAGCGGTGTCCGCGCGCGAGGCGAGGCGAACATACGTGAGTCCGTCTAGCGCGTCGAGGGGTTCCATTCCCTCGGCCGGTCTCCAGCCGATTTCCTTTTCGATACGAACGGCTTTTTTTCGAGCGCATAATGCATGCAAAATACATCTTGCCGCGAAGCTAATAAACGTTTAAGTCATATTTGCGAAAGATATAATCTCCTCTCTTCCTGTTACGCGTAAAAATGTATAAGATAACCTTCGCAGCGCGTACAGATGGCTTTAATATTTCGTCCCTTTTCGTCCGCGCAATAAATGCGAGATAAACAATTTTTATTTTTATCTGACTCGGAAGAATTTTTGATCCTTCTCTTTCGAAATTTGATCCTTCTCTTTCGAAAGTTCGGCATAATTGATAAGAAATGCACAGATCGCGCTTGGCGTTTGCGTTGGAAAATCGAGGAAGATTTCTCATGGGAGAAATTTTTAGACGAGACGCACCGCGCGCACGTGTAGTGTTACATAGCGTGTAGCACGGATGTTATTTGGAAAGGCTTAATTGCGGGAAGTAATTATATCGAGAAGAGATATAATTAATCGACTCATAAAAGCCTCTTGCGTGCAACGTGAAACCAGCAACGCAAGGAGAAAAGAAACGCTACTCGCGTACTCGATTGAATAAGACATGAAAAAAAATTTAGATTTAATTAGGAACGACGATTTCATCATTTAATTAATGAGTTAAGGTAAGAACAGTTTCGTTCATCGCGACACTGTAACGTTTCGCGGAGGCGACAGGTGAAGACTCGTAATCTATTGCAGCCAGAAGAGAGCCAGAATGGCAAGAATATTCAAGGTCAAGGTTAGTCTGGGCACTCCCTTTCGCGTCTATCGAGAGTCGCTTAACGACCGCCCCTTCGCTCTTTCACGCGAAGTCTGGGGTCCGATTTTTCCGAAATGCGCGCAAAGCGAAGTAAAAGCCGTACACGCCGCGGTCCCGGACAATGCTCTTCGAGACGACTTCGCGATACGATGTTGAAGGTCGTCGCGGGAAGTCGAGATCCGCGGGAGAATAGAGCCGTCTCGCACGTACCGGGTGGCGCGAAACTACCCTACGTATGTCGATGTCCACGGAACGATTTCTCGATAAATATTATCAACATTCCTTTATAATATAATTCGTAATATAGTGAAACATTAAGATAATTAAAAATATTATATATACAAATCAAATAATACATTACATAATTTTGCATAAATTTATTGACACACAATCACAATCTTAAATTTTTTCAAGTCAATTTTAATCCCTTTCTATTGTAAATTATTTGTGTATCGTATTATTTTTCACGAGTATTATCAATGTCCTTTTTCTGGATTGTACGTTGGAATTAAATAAGCAAAACTATTAAGATTGCTGTTAGTTGGAAAAAGTTGAGTTGAATCTTTCTATCCAATTTCAGGCACCGCTTTCGTCCAACGTATCGAGCATTGTATTTCGTCCTTCATCCTTGAGCGATCGACAGATTGTTTTATAAAAGTCAGAGTGAAAATCGCAATATACCGGATGATCCATAACTATCT